TTTTTTTTTTTTTTTTTTTTTTATGTATGTTACCGCATAACTTTGGACCACGTCAATTCTTTTTGCATCGGAAAGGTAGTGTCTCAGAGGTGGTCCCATACTAATCTGGTTAAGATCCGATGAGCGGATCATGAGATATATATATATATATATATTTTTTTTATATGAGGGTTGAAGTCGGTTTTTTTTTTTTTAAAATTACTAGTTGTATAACGTGTCATTTTTTTCCTGCTTATCTGTGAGGACAGTGTCCGGTAGATAATTAAACAAATAAACAAATAAAAAAAACGTTAACGCCCAGTATTTTATTTATTTATTTATGCAGCAACATTGTTAGGGACAAAAAAAATCCACTGGATAGCAGACGCTATGAAGAACTTTCTAACATCTCATTATTTCTGTCTGATTTCTACCAAAAAAGACGATTTCCATATTACATAAAAAATACTTTTACTTAAGAAATTTATATATATGTACTATTTTATATTTCAACTGGTTTTAGAGTAATGAACCTGGATAATATGAAGGCTACCAAAATAGTAGCACAAACAAAACAAAAGGCGAACATGTAAAACGACTCTTCGGTGAAAATATCCGTAAAAGCTGGTATATCCTGGTATATCTGCTCAATCACAGCTAATGTGCCCTTGTGTTTTTTCACCATTTTGTAAATTTTATCAAATGCAATTACTTCCTTTTGGAGCCTTTCTTGCCACCTGCAGCTAGTTTTTGTTTTTCAGCTTTAGTAGCTAGCTTCGACGTGATTTCCTCAACAGGTGCCAGTGCCGATACGTGCTTGTTAAGTAGCTGTAATAGTTCAAGCGTTGTAAGATTTTCACTGATAAACCGAATTTCTTTCACTTGCACCTTTTCTGCAAACAAGAGTATGTAAAACCTCCGGTTAATTTTTTTTTTAAGTCGAAATACACATATTTACATGCATACATATGTATGTATGTAATAAAGAATTGGCGAACATACCTTGTGCAGAGTCGATTAAAGAAAATTTCACCTGCGCTGGCTGACGGTTGCAAACAACGTCTGTTTTTAAGACGCAATTTGGATTTGTGAGAGATATTTTAGGTGCTGACAACAGCGATAAAAAATCCCTACATTAAAAGAAATATTTGGTTAACTATCCAGGACAATCAATCAATAAAATATACATTGAATTATCATATACATATATACATGCATGTTGTGTCTATTTATATGATGCAACTACATGACAGCATTGTTTCGCACTAATTAAATACATATGGTACACATATTTTAATAGGTATCACGAACTGCTATCTAAAATAGGAAAAACAAAGGCATCAAACTGACGCCGACACCGACAAAGATGTCCACGGAGCGTGAGCTTGCTCCGGGAGGACCATCGCAGCTCCACTCCTTACCTGTCCCTTACCCGGATTTGGGCGCTACACTGCAACTCAACACAGCGGTGCGAATAATTGGCAAGGTATATGGTAAGTAAATTTATATTATATTCTGAATAATTTGTAAATGTTTGCTAATTGCCTTGACAATCTTGATTGTTCACACAGTTGAGAATGTGCATGAAGAAACCAAAATTTCACTCGCTTGTTATAAAAATGTTTGAGATTATCCTTCTTACTGCGCATGCTACAACATCCAAGGGCTTTTCATTTTGACATAGTGGTCACTACCATATCGACCGCTTTTCTTGTACAATGTGCATGTATGTATATTACTTTTTACGTTATTCCTACCTTGCGGGTCTCACATTTTCAGCGAAGGGATCAAACGTAACAGTTATTCTTTTTACACCTTTTAAGTTGACACTTTTTAATTGCTTGCTTATTGCTGCAATTAAGCCATTAGACCGTTTTAAAGCTCCACTAAAGTGTATGGACATGCTGTATTTAACTAAAAAAATACGATTTGCTTTTATTCCTGCTTTGACTTGTTATGTACTTTATTGCGAATCGGTTTGACATTCGAGCACATGCAGAAAGTTGCAGTTGCAAAGCTAATTTACGTTCTCTGAAGATACCAGAGAAGCAGTGTTGCCATCAATCTTAAAAAAAATATCCAGAAATGGTATAATTTCAAACTAATGCACCGTTTTTGCTGCATTTAAAATACAACATTTAGCACTTTCGAACATATGTTTTCGAAGAGCGTTCATGCTATCGCATTTAGCTTGTTCAGATCCGTATCTATTACGATCAATTCTCACGCAGAAGATAATGTGCAAAAACCCTACTGAAAAGGAAAAAATAAATTTTAAACCAAAAATTCNATAGCATGAACGCTCTTCGAAAACATATGTTCGAAAGTGCTAAATGTTGCATTTTAAATGCAGCAAAAACGCTGCATAATGCACCTNGCACATGCAGAAAGTTGCAGTTGCAAAGCTAATTTACGTTCTCTGAAGATACCAGAGAAGCAGTGTTGCCATCAATCTTAAAAAAAATATCCAGAAATGGTATAATTTCAAACTAATGCACCGTTTTTGCTGCATTTAAAATACAACATTTAGCACTTTCGAACATATGTTTTCGAAGAGCGTTCATGCTATCGCATTTAGCTTGTTCAGATCCGTATCTATTACGATCAATTCTCACGCAGAAGATAATGTGCAAAAACCCTACTGAAAAGGAAAAAATAAATTTTAAACCAAAAATTCAATACAAAAACTTGTATTGTTTAACCATAACCGAACATTTGTTTGTGTATATATTCATTTGTCGGTGTTCTCAATTAAAATTTCATCACGTAATTAGGAAACAAAACACACAGAGTTGATCAAAAATGTATCCATATTTCTGTCAGCTAACTTTTCTTTATCCAAATAATGTAAAATAATAAATGAAATTTCGTTCGGCGATCACTGAAACGCAGCTAGCAACTGTATACCCGAAAAAGCAATACTGCCACTTTTTCTCCTNTTCGGCGATCACTGAAACGCAGCTAGCAACTGTATACTCGAAAAAGCAATACTGCCACTTTTTCTCCTTAATGCCTTGACGAATCGTGGAAAT